GCTCAATTTTCCTAAAGATATGATTTTTTTTTCTTCCCTGTGTTTGAGCTCAGTAACATCTGAACCCTTCTGGAGGAACTAAAAAATATTATCTCAGACTGATAAAAAAAGACCAAGCAAGGGGAAAAAAACAGAAATAGATGCTACTATTTCTAGTAAGTGATTTTTCACATTGCAAGCACTTGACTATAAGTACTTGGAAGCAGGACTCTATAAGGCAGAGTTGCTTGACAACCTTAATTATTGGGAAGTTCTACCAGCCTCCACAGTAACATTTCTATGTGTATAAAGACTCCATGGGAACTGCATTATGATCAGTGTAACAGAGCAGCTCAACACTACCTTGGTTCCACTAATTTCAGGTTTGTTTATGCAAATTAAAACTATTTTTTTTAAAAAAATCTTTTTTATAATTTTTGAACTATAAGAAGTTATGGAATTGTGAATTTACCCATAAGAAAGCAAAGTTCAATACTGAGTTTCATACTTTTACAAAAAACTGAAAGAGAAGAATAATTTTTTTTTACATTTAAAAGAAAAGTCACACATTGCTGTGTTCCCTGGTAGTATTTCACCAACAAATGATACAGACATTTAGAAGCTGTTCCAAGCATATGATAATAAATAAGACAAATAAAACTAAGAGCTGAAAACAAACAATGTATTTGATGCAGGAAGATGCAGAGGCAATGCCTCTGCAATACTGAGGAACCTGTCCTCCTGTTCAGGAGTAATGACAGATATCAGCTCCACTTTTAAAACAGTGTGATCTAATTTGGATGAAATTATTTTTGAAAGGGAACTCTGCCATTAGTTAACCATGATAAAAATCTTCAAGGAAAAGCTTACACTTCAAAGGAAAGCTTCTGATTAGTTTCATATTAGTTTCCAGTAGTCAAAAAATATTTAAGAAAAAGGTCACTTCAGTCAAATAAATATCAAGATTTGTTCACAGATCCGCATAATGCAGCTGCAGATCAGCACTGCAGTCACTGAGACAGCAACTCAGAAACTACATATATACCACAGTGCAGAAACTATTGCATTATACTGAAATTTGTGCACTGCAGATTCAAAGTTGGGGTTTTTTTCCCTCCTCCCTGACTACTTAGTCAGAATAACACTGGTCTCATGGATAAAAATTTTCAGTTTATCTTCACTTATGCATTTTGTATTTCAACTTCATGTTTAAGGTTTTTTTCTTGAATTATGTTTAAAATGACTAAATTATTCAGAGGCTTCACAAATTTGAAAGAAATTAGAATTAACTGAACTTCTAAATTATCAAAAATTGGCAATATTGAAAGAAATCAGGATATATAATTAGTAATAGGCATGGGCAAACCTCAGTGCAAAGGTAGATACTATTACATACAAGTTGGAGAAACTTGCTGGAAATATTACATCTGCTCTTTATCAGGCTGCATTGCCTGAAGAAAGGAAATACAGCAACTCTAGCTTGAACTTAAATGGTGGCAATATTTATAGCAGAACATCTTTTTGCTAACAGGGTTCAGCAGAGCCAAGTTTCCTCTCTGAAGTATCTGGCAATAATGCAGCTCACACGTTATATAATGCCACAAGCACTTACGTAAGTGCTTTTCCTCAGAAATTCTACACAGGAAAATAAGGATCCAAAATTCCATTGTATAGGTAGATAATTAGAGTCAGAACAAATGAATGACTTGTCCTGGGATATTGTTGTGAGTCAACAAACAGTAAAAAGTCCACATCTCTGGACCTTTAGCTTATGATTTTAACACTGATCTTCCTGTAAGTTTAGCTCTTGTTCACTGCAAGTAAAAAGATCACTCTTTGGGGAAAAAAATAGAGCCAATTGTCCCAAAATATGTTTTTTTTGTGGAAAGTGGGGAAGCAGAACTATAGCAAAGTCCTGATATTTTCTTAATAGGGGTAGCCAACCAAATAAGGTATAAACACTAATCTACTGACTACACTGACTTTGTGAATTTATGATCTCAGTGTTAAATTAATTAAGCTACAGTCAGAAAACTGGAAGACTAACTAATGAATATGACATAGTTCTGCTCTCCTCTTACATTACATAAATTCAGCTAAGAGCTGACTGCATTTTGAAAAAGCCATGCCCTGTGAATGAACTCTACTCATCTGTTATTTTTACATGCACATCTTAGCCCCAGGGTGGTTAACCTATTTGTCTTCATTCAGAAAGAATTAGTGAGTTGTTTGAAAACATAGAGCAATATTGCAATATGAAAAGGTGACATTCCAGCCCTATTCCTAACAGCATATTTACTCAGAACATTTGATAGAAAACTTACTTTTCCCTAAGGTTTTAACCATAGAGTACACAATATACAGAAGCCTATCCCTCAGTATCCTGATGAACATCATTCTCTGGTAAGGGATCCATCTGAGGAACTCCACATCCTTAGAAAAAGCATTCCTCAGCTAGATTAAATAGAGTTTGTTTGGTATCACTTTAAGCAGCTTCACAAAAATAACTTCAGCTCTCCACAGTCCTAACTATTGTAAAAGGTGTAAGTTGCTGCATTCTTTAAGAGTTGTAGAAAACAGCAGCTATAACATGACACTGCATTCGACATGAAAAAAATTTACAATTTATAATATATGCATTATTAGATGTATACTTATAATATATGTATTACTTTCAAATTTAATGTCTATTGAAGTTATTTTTCTAAATGGTCTAATGGATTAAGACAATAAGAAGCAGCTTTCATGAAAAATATTCACTCATTTGTAACTGGCTAATACAGTTTTTATCAATTATTTGAATTTTCATAAAAGTTTCATTGCTTTATTGACAGTAATATAATTACTGAATAGGTAGGGGAAAAAAACCAAATATTTTTATGATTAGGAAGGTACATAGTTTATCAGCTCTTAATTTAGTCTTGAAAAACATCTGTTTATAAAAATGTGTGAGTGCATGTAAGAGCAAAATTAATTTGCTGAAACCTTGCTTCCTCTTACTGTCAAACCAGAGCCTTATAACTGAAATAGGCTTAATAAATACTCATGAAAGCCTAGCTCTAAATCATGTTACGACTATAATTCAGCGTCATTTCTCTCTACACTGAAAATATAATTTCTTTGTAGTATACTGATATTTTGCATGGAAGATGAAGTATACACATTAACACCACGTGTTGACAAAACTCAGTCTCTGCAGACAGCATCACTCATCTTGCTGCATCAAACTACATGTGACAGTCTTGAGAATCAACAGTTGATGCACAAACCTAAATAATATAAAAAGCTAAGGTGATTTACTAATTAGAGGGCAGGAAGTATAAGTTCAGGCATATGCCTACAGAGAGATACTATTTGGAGCAAAATTCAACTTCAGCAACCCAATTCAATAATGCAATGAAACCCAATGTCTTTAAGTAAAACCTTTTCATTAATCAGATTTCTCATTAATTTAGTCCACAACAAGTTGTTTTTCCACTGAGTCTAATTGCAATTCTCCTAAAAGTAGTTATTTAAAATAATTTTAAAATGCAAAGATGATGAGAAAGTTGACAGAATACGTAATTACAAAAAATAACTCATTTAATGAGTTACTGAGCTTCTAAGTAGAAGTTACAATTATATTCTAATAATTATATTCTCATTTTCCTATGTGTTTCCAAAAATGGAAGAACATTTTCAATTGTATAATTAAAGTCTTATTAAGCTATTCTCTTTTTTCTAAATACTGTAAAAAAAATAAAAAATAATGTCTCATAGTAAAAAAAAAAAAAGTTAATAATAGTGAATAAAACAATGTTATATGCAGATATCATGGAATATCCTGAGTTGGAAGGGACTCACAAGGATTGTGAAGTCCAACTCTTGGCCCTGCACAGGACAGCCCCATATGCCTGAGGGCATTGTCCAAGTGCTCCTTGAGTCTGTTAGCCTTGGTGTTTTCGCCACTTCCCTGGGGAGCCTGTTCCAGTGCCAAATAATCCTTGGTTGAAGAATCTTTTCCAATATTTAACTTAAACCTGCCCTGACACAACTTCAGGCCATTCCCTTGGGTCCTGTCACTGGTCACCACAGAGAAGAGATCAGTGCCTGCCCCTCCTCTTCCCCTCACGAGGAAGTTGTAGACTGCAGTGAGGTCTCCCCTCAGTCTCCTCTTCTCCAGGCTGAACAGTCCAAGTGACTGTTCATAGGGCTGTTCATCAGCCACTCCTCATAGGGTTTCACCTCTCGACCCTTCACCATCTTTGTAGCCCTCCCAGATCTGAAAAAGTTTTTGATAAACTCAAAACAGCTCTTGTTTAGAGATTCTACTTTTAGGTTGTTTCGCCAAATCACTACGGCTGATTTTTCAAAAGCCTCCAGCAGAATTGTTTTCTTCTTATTTTGAACTTCCTTTACCATAAAGAATAGTTCAGGTGTTTGCAACACCAAGAATTCCAAAAGAAATTCATGTTAAAGTGTGGAAGAGTTTCATCACAGAAAGAATGGGAGATGCTTAGATGAAGAAAGTTATTTAAACCAGTGATAAGAACCAGCTACCACAGAAATTTTTAAAATATTTCAACTATATTCAATATTAAGTATTTTAATTATATTTAATTATGATGTGTCAGTAGCTCTACATATTAAACTGTACATAATCCTAATAAAATTATGGTAACAAGCTTTATATGTAACAGCATTGTTAACCTCAGAACACTCAAAGGGATTCTAAACATCTCAATTATGCAATTTGGACAGATTTTTTTTTTTTTCAGTGTTTCCTTATTTTCATGATTAGTAAATTTTTCAACTTCTATTCCATTACTGAAATGGACACAAATTAGGTTAGCCATACACTGAAGTCGCACTTTCCAGACCTTCAGTGTCCTGTGTTGCAAAATAGTATAAAAAGAACAGTTTAAACACCTTAAGTTTTACTTTTGGGAGATGGAAATGTAAACCACACTTTATTACAACACTTTCTGTAACTGGTTTTTTTTTCTATAGAAGAACCGTACAGGTATTGTTACATAACTTACCAAATATCTTTCTGAAGAGACACTGACTAAAATAAGATCATCTCCAACACGCACTTTTTCTCCTTCTGATCGTTGCTTGGAAGCAGGATGTATGGTCCACCAGCATGCCTCACCTATATCAATATTAAGTAAGGAAATAAATAAGAAAGAAAAGGCCCAATCTTACAGACATTGCTTTCACACCTATCTCAGCCCTAAAGTTTGATCCAGTTTTCAGTTTGTTAAATCAAATGTTCATGTGTTTTCAGTAACTAGTATCACTCCTGCACCACCTTGTCAGAAACTCAGCTGGAAATAGTACACATAAGAAGACAACTAAGACTTCTGGAACAGTGATGCCAGAGTAAGGAGGCAGCTCTGTGTTCTTTAGGCAACCTGGTCCAGGCTGCTTTTGCTAAAGATTCACAGTCACCTTCTTAACAGATTCTGAAAAAGACATCAAAGAATATTCTGCTGAGAATTAGGACAAAGAAATAGAGCAAATCATCACTAAGGGCAATGAAAATAACCATTTACAATACTGCTTAAAACGATATTTGATAGATCTCATAAATTCAAATTCAAATCTGTTCTTCAACTTGTACTGATTGCTAGTGTCTCTAATATTTATGAGTCAAAAATTCTGTTCCCATGACAAACCTTACTTTCTGATATGCTTCCTGAACAAAAAGCTTGCTTTTCAGAAGAGAACTCTTTGATCTTGAAATTGGTCAACTATTGTAGTTATTAGCCTTACTACTCCTAGTTAGAACAAGACTTTAAAAAACAAGCAAACTTACGTCTAACTACAATTACACCAAATCCATTGCATTGCAAGAAGCAGTATTAGTCTTTAAAAAATTAAAATAAATCCAAGTCACCAATAGTTTAAAGCTTTAATAGAATTTTTATTAAAATAATACATTTTTTAAAAAAATTTCAGTGAAAGGCTTCTACAGGAATTAAAACTTGGGAATATTCCTTTACTTATATTCACTAATATAAATTTATATTTAAATATAAGTAGACATATTTATATCTCATAGAAAATAAATTAAATAACCTATTAGAAAACATAAAGATACTGAATATTTAAACAAGAAAATATTGTTTGGTTTCTTTAGGTCTTAAAAAAATCTTACTTTTTATGAGATTTATCCATAGGTCTCTTCTGATTTTAGACTGAAAGTATTCTTCATTATCTAGTCTTTTTAACTAGTGTTTACCTGTTGTGTCCTCTTGCAATCCTACGTCAAATGCCAGCTTATCCATTGAAGATCGAGATGTAGAGAGGCAGCATAGATACTATCAAAAGAAAAAAGCGTACAGAACTTGTTCTGCTCACTTCTGATAATCCACTAAAATAGAAAAACCTACTAACACAGGATTAACTATTCTTAGATTATCCCCGCTAGTTACTTTCAAGAACGTGTATGCCTGATAACCGAATGGCACTCAAGGAGACTTGACAAAGATATATGTTCTAAAATAACATCTCAATCGATCCAAGCTATCTTTCCACTGAGACAGGAAATAGTGAAAGTGAAAATAAAGGAATTAGTTGAATCACATTTCAGCTCCATGAAGCCTCATCTGTAGTTAAGGAGTCTGGAACCTATATAATTCATCAAGGAACTGAAGATTAAGACTTCTGTCTAAAATACATGCAAGAAGGAATTTCCTTTTCCATTCAGCCTTCAAATATGCTCAGGTTGACAGCAAGATGCCAGCTGTTGCTTCAGTCAAAGCTTATGCAATATGGAATTTTCAAGGCAAAAGGAATGAGAATTCACCAACAGACTGATGAACAGAAGATTCAGCACTGCGGGAGCCAGACTTAGTTTTAGCACTTGCCCAGATACAACCAGCTCAGTTTTGTATTTCCAAGCATCTACCCTTCACAAAGGTTTCCAGTAACCATGAGTAAAACGCCTCTTTGATGTGAATAACTCTCCAGATATCAGTAAGTAGCAGCAGGGTGGGCACTTTCAAACATAACTTTCATACAGAAAAGAAATCATTGCTGCTCACAACTCCTGTTACATACCATGCCGCTGTAGGAATGGCGCAGCAAGATTGCATGCCCGTAGAGTAGCGTTCGGTGACCACCACCTTGTGCAGACTGAAAGATAAAAAGAAATAATATAGTGGTATGTCATAATAAAATGAGGCCTTTTGAGAAAGAAAGGAAGAAAAATGAGAGAAAATTGAGTACTTTGTACCATCACCTATTTGGTATAAAATATGTTCTAGAATCTTGAATCCTTCCTTCTTGGGCTGAAAGCAGGCAGTTCTAGAGAAGAGCAGCTTTGATGTGTCATACTACCTTCTACACACTTATGTATTGTTAAATCTCTCCATATTCACCTATTTTCCCTCCAAATTATTTACTTTTATATAAAGGTATGCAGAGTGAGGACATTCTGAAATACTCCCCCTATTTTGCCAGAAAGTATTAATCAAGCACACTGAAGAACATCAGCCTGTAGACTCCTTGTCCTCTGCTGCTTATCAGACAGAATTCTTTATCTGCTAGGACAGGTAAGCTAACTCAAAAGTATTTGGGGGTTATGAAAAGTCAGAAATCATGCCCAAGTAATTGTTCCTCTTGAGAAACGCAGCATGAATTTCGAGTGAAAAAAAATTGAAAGTAATAAAATTCACTTTTATCCTAAGAAACTACAACCACAATTTTCACAATTTTCAATACAGTTTCTACTAATCAATAATCAGTTTAACTACTCATGAAAGAATAAATAAATCTTGTTAAAGCATGAGCAATGCTTCAACTTCTGCTGAAGATTTACATATTCCTTAGACTGGGATGCAGATGACTGGCACTGGACAGGAGCAGAGACTGTCTGACAAGACACTGTCAAGAGCCTAAGCTCATATTTGACAGAACAACTCATGTAACATTATGCACACCACACTCATCAAGAAGTATTGATAAATATATATTTTATGAGTCTATAAATGTGACAATTCCACGAGCAGCATTATTCTTTCACATAGGATTCCTAGTTTAATTTCTCAAATACAGTATTTATATCCCTTCTTCTACCACAGTAGACTGACCTTCTGTTTGATTGGAGCATCAGATTCATTACAGAATAAACTAGACACAATCATACTATCTTATGTCTCTGGCAACTACACTTCAGTGCTGAAGATCAGTTTAACTGGCTATGATGGTAACACAATTATTTCCCCTCCTTGTTTACTCATTGCCTTGCTTTATCTTTTATGCATTTGCATGTGTTGATCTTTGAGTTACTTGGTCAAGAAAAACATAATAGGAATAGGTGGTGAAAAAGTGAGCACTTAATAATTTTAGCACTTTTAAGAAACTGCCAAAAGTTTCAGACTTTTATCTTTATTGAGAAAAGAGCAGTTTGATGGACACAAGGTATATTCTGACTTTAAGTAAACTGCATAGCAGTCAAAATGCAGGGAGGAACATTCAGTAATCTCTCTGGAAGACTGAATGACATGAATTTGTACTGAGAAAGAATCAAAGTCATGGAGTTTGTCACAGACACAGTCTTGACAGTAAGATATGAAGGCTTAGCTTTGAACTACCATTAATACCACCCCATTTTCCAAAGGCACAAGGAAAGAACAAGACATTTGATAATGTCAGGCCCACTGTGCCAAAGACGAATGTCTGCTGCTCATCACACTGGGGAAAAGAGAAAAAAGTGCTGTGAACATACTGCCCTACCAGCATTTCACCAATATTTTAATCAAAATTATTCTGTGTTACTATTCATAAATTTGATATAACAAAGATTTAGTTGCCTTTTGTACAAAAGATGAGAGGAGTACCGTGACCAACAAAATCACAGCAATGTTAGTTTGCCCTTACTTTGGCCATATTGATTTGTCTGTCTAGCACTTATTTTGTTAAATGCTCCCTTGTAGTTGAACAGGAAAAAGGTTGGCTCAAAACAACTTCAATCACTCCTGTGAAAAATGGCAGAGTGGTTTTAGAAAATTTTTCTAAGAGGATTAAAGCAATTCTTTTTAACCAATATTATTTTGCCCATTAAAAAATGCAAGCAAGTTTGCTCTTAGTTTCTTTGATGGAAAACAGAGCTGCAAAAAAACATTTTAAGAATTTCCCACCTAGAGGTTTCTGAGAGGAAATCATAATTAAACCATCCATGTTAGGGGGGGGAATTGAAAAGATGACAAAGAAAAATACAGAAAGGCTAGAAAAGAAAGCTGGTTCTATAAAACTGCCTTCCATTTCCTTCCATTTTGGAGCTTGTCTTCCAGGATATGTACATACCTATAAGTTCATTTCCTATTTTAATGGCTCATTTCATAACTAAATACTCAGCATTTATCTTTATGCCAGAAACCGCATAGGAAGTAGTGGTTGGACCATGATTGTCTACTGAAAGAATCCTTGATTTTCAAAATGATCCATTATATTTCCAGCAGAAAGCCGCAAATTTTCCACATGTTAAAAAAAAATTAAAATAAATTTAAAAGTTAAGAACTGGACTATTATGGTAAAGTTGCAAAATCCAAGATGAAATCTGCCACTGAAGTTTTACCAAGTTTCTATTAATATTGCAATAATAAAAAAATTTCAGAAAACTTTGCAAGTAAGACTTCTTGGAAGCCACAGTGCTGACTAATTCAATCCATTACGCCCACAGATTTTTGCACAAATATATGAATGGCATTATAATGCAAGCAATTTGCTAACAACTACATTATTTATCATAAGCCTTATTTTCTTTATGTTTTTAATTTCCAATTTTCAGAGTAATTTCTAAGTTTAACAATACATTCCTTGAATAAAACCAGCATGGCCAAAAATATATTTGTGTTCAAAGAAGAACTCACCACTGAAGTTCTTCCATTCAGGAGGGTCAATTATATTAACACAAAACTCTTCTTATTTTATCCCCCAAGAATCTGGGATTTAGAGTAAGACTTGAAAAGCCTTCAGAACTGGCAAACACTAAAGACAATAAATTGAGATTGAAAGCACATGGGGCAAATTCACAACACTTGTGAAAACTTCACATAAACTGCCCATCTCTAATCTAATATTTCTGCAGCTGGAATACAAGATTAATTTGGAGTCATCTAATTAATCAAAAGTTATTTCCAAGGAAAAGGCAGTTGAGGATATAAAACAAGAATTAGAGCTAAAGAAATTAGCATTCAAAATATATAAACAGCTTTCAAGGTCAATACATTGCTAAACCAGGCAATGAGACTAGATTACTAAGATCTGAGTTCTTTAATTTGATGTAAAGAGTGTTATCTTGAAACAAAAATAAAGGAAAATAAGTTAAAATTGGGAAATATTTATTTTTCCTTGTTATCTTAATAGAAAGAGAATTAAAACACCAAAAGGCACTCAAACGCTACAACCTATAAACTATGTAGTAAACTGTGCAAACAATGGAAGTACCATGACATGAAATAACATATTTATAATTAGATTCAATGAAAAAATATCTATTTTACTGTGAATACCAATGCTACAGTAAGATATGTTATACTTGACTTAAAAAGACCTTTTATATCTGTGTAATTTTGTATATACTTGACTGTCATAGATACAGACATGTAATCATCTGACAGAACAAAAAATTCACACAGTAGCACCTGCACTGCTGTGCCTACGGCTGCACTGCTACACTCCTGGATTCACATGAGAAGCTGCAGGAAATTAATCAAGGTGACATCAAATAAGTGTTTTGGAACCATTTGTGCTTCTGGGAACCTCAAAATCAGACTTTTAGAGGCTGGTGGATAGCTTTGTGGCATCCGTGATTTCGAGTCAGATGGCCATTACCTTTCTATTCTTTTCAAAAGAACAGCCTTATTTCTACTAGAGTAAAACATTTCTTAGACCAGTGAGTACTCTACTGCAAGTAAATGCTTATGTTTCTTTACTGACTTTTCTTCACAGGTCTACACAATCTTCCAATGTGTGAGAAAAGGAAAACAGCTAAGAGCTTCAGGGAGGTACCAGAGAAAGACAATCACACAAAAGCACGTACTTAAGATAGTTATTTCAGCTTGTGTACAGACAAAGTTTCTGTAACATTGTCATTATTCAGAAATCCAATGCTTGAGAAAGCATGACAGCAATTGCATTTAGCACATGGCTATTCAAACAAATCTAGTCACCCACGAAAGCAATTTAAAAATACTGAATGTGTCACAAGAACACAGGAACTGATTCACACTCTAGAAAAAGTCATACGAGATAACGCAGTGACTTTTTAAAACAATGTAATGGCTCTTCCTGCTTCATTCCATTATGGGTCCGTATCAGTAGAATGGAATTACTGAAATGTGCTATAGGGAAAATGACAGTACAAAGAGTAAATTGTAGGCAAAAATAGCTTTGATGGACCTAAAAAGATAAAAATTTTAAAAAAAAGTCAAATGAAAAAATAAATGACAAGACATCAGTAGCAAATCCTTCAAAAATGCAATCCATACAACTTACTGTAATGGTAAATCATGACCTAATTGCAATCAGCTGCTCAGCCTCATATTTCCTCTGCGCCCCAGATGCAGCCCTAGCACTCTAGATGGAACTTAGGACCACTCAATATTTGCTCTAAATGGGTTTCTAAAAAATACTACACAACTACTTTCATGGCACTGAACACTTTTAATATGGGAAAGCATGTACAGAAGCTGTACGGTAAAAGAAGCAACAAGCTCCCTGTTTTTCTTCAAAAGTGTTTTCCAAGGCAAATACTGCAAGATAACATTAAAAAATTCAAATATGACTGTTTTGTATTAGTATGTGACTGTAAAATTAGTGGCTGTTTCATATGTACACTGGAGTAAAACAATGTCCCTTAAAGTACTGAGTACTCACACTTCATTAAAATGGAGCACACTAATGGTGGCCAACTTAAGCATAAAACAGATGCTAGAGACAAAAGCATGCTAAACAGAGGACATCTATCCATAAAAACACTTGTAAATATAAATGCAAAGGCATTATTTTCTCCATCATGAGTATGATCTAAGTTTCATGAAGTTCAGTAGTTTATTTCTAACATTTGTACTGTTAGAAAACTACAAAATTATGAAAAAAAATTTAAATCTAGATTTAAAATTAAATGCATA